CTACTACTACTACTACTACTGCGATGACGACGACGACGACGCCGACGGCGCCGACTACTACACCTGCTGCTGCTGCTGCTGCTGCTGCTGCTGCTGCTCCTGCTACTGCTACTACTGGTACAAAATGACGGTCGTTTTGGTCATCTTGGTCAGGCGGGGGTTGGGCAAAATGACGCATCATTTTGCTCATCTTGCTCGCGGTTGCAAGATTACGTGTCACTTTGTTTATCTTGGTCCTAGGTTTGTCAGCGGGAGGGCGCCTTGTAATTTAATCATGTTCATCTTGCTATTGCACAACTCGCCCCACGGATGCCACTAGCACCACTTGCGAAACAAGATTACCAAGATTACCTAGCTAACCCCCACCAAAGAAAAATAATCGCCAAGCAAGTTCACATGCACGTACACCCTGCAAACCCTGAAGCGATGCGCACGCCGGGCGCGCGCAGCCGTAAACCTTCATCCCTAATCAAAACCCTAAAGCCATGAACCCTACAACCCTAAAGCCCTAAGCCGGGTGCCCCTAAACCCAAAACCCAAACCCCTAAACCGGGCGCGCCCCTAAACTCTAAACCCTACCCTACCCTACCCTACAGGATTTGGGACCGAAGGGGTTGGTAATCTTGGTCATTCTGGTAATCTTGGTCAGCAAGTGGTCCAAAATGACCTAGATTACCGAGATGACGCCCCCCCCTCCCCGCCAAAACAAATCTAGAAAGGCAAAATTACGAAAATGACTAAGATAAGCACGGTCATCTTGCCTTGCACCCACCAAAACAGCCAAAACGAACAAGATTACAAAAATGACTTCGAACGTTAGCGGTTCTCGATTCCCGGCAAAACGTGCTGTTGCTTCTGCTACTGCTACTGCTACTGCTACTGCAACTGCAACTGCTACTACTACTACTACTACTACTACTACTACTACTCTGCTGCTACTACTACTACTACTACTACTACTACCACTACTACTACTACTACTACTACTACTACTACTACTACTTGTACTTCTACTTCTACTTCTACTTGTACTTCTACTACTACTACTCCTTCTACTACTACGACGACTACTACTACCACTACTCCT